TCTTTTTCTTTTTTTTTTTTCAATCTTTTGTCGCAGAGCTCGTACAACAATGGACTGATGTCTCCCTCCACTGTGGATCTCCCGTCTCCAACGGTTTCCACAGCTCCGAAACTCCAGCTCCGAGCTCATCGCGAAACACACGTATCCAATCTTCAGGGTGCATTTTCCCCATCACTCACCCGCCGAAAAATATTCTAGCGGATGCTGCACTCCCCCACAAAATCCTGGATCATATCAACCAGTCAGGAGCTGTGGCACATGCCGTGATCGCCCAAGCACATAGATTGCGCAGTCGTTCAATTCAAACAGGAAGGTGCCAAACCCTAGCGCAACCGCGGCTCCCCTAAAACCGTCCCTGCCGAGTCAAGTGTCGAGCTGAGCAAGCTGGTGTCGTTCACAAATTCGAGCTTCAGAGCTCCCGAGTATCGTCCATAGCCTTCCGTGGACGACGCCCCCCCGAGCCCACTTCTCCATGCCTCGGGGTCCCTATACAGACCCCCCATGCTCACCTCGGAACCTCATCCCCACGTCTCAACTTGACGAGACGACGATGTGTGATACCCAAGCGCCCGAAACACCACCCTCCTCCCTTCCTCACCTCAACAACGCCGCAATCCAGACGCCTCATCACCCCACGTGGTCCATCCGCCGCAGATCCGACCGTCAGGTGCTTTTTTCTTTTCGTCTGAACCGTTATTGTTGCATCCGTTTCAACGTTGATCGACGATAAGGCGTGATGGAAGGCTGTGGGTGGTGAGAGTTTGATGACAACCAGGAACCGGGGGGGCGGTGTAACGTCTCAATCTCAACGGCTGGATCAGATGATTTTGATGATTGGGGGAGTTCAGCCGTCTGCCTGCCTGCAATGGAGGACTTGGATGTCGGATGACTATGACGTGCGGATTGGGAAAACTTACTTACAAGGCGGAATTCGCCGTCACTGAGGGAAGGGGATGGAGAAATTATGGCCAGGAGGAAGATGGTTCTTGGACGGAACGACGATGGTTGATGGATTGGTGGAGCGGGGTGATGGGGATTCTTCATGGGAGCCGAGAAGGTGACGTTGAGCCAGAGACTGGAGGTTGATGCTGATGAATCAGCACTAGGGGAGCCAACGCTGGGTGTTCGGCTTCAAATTTATACAAACGTGAGCTGGATAGATTCTACTGGATGGGATCTGTTGATATGTATAGTTCTGATCAGTGAACATAAAAAATCTAAACAGGTTTTCAAGAAGTCTGTATAGTGGGCGGAGAGCGAAGGGGGTATGAAGGATTCGTCAGGCTAGCACAGCACATCCTCTTCTTTTGGAATAACCCGTGGCCTTCAAGGTCCTCGTTTTTCGGAGTCGTGTCCTCGATAGTGTACGGACCTTTCCTTCCGCTACAGTATCGTCGGCTTTGGCAAACTGAGCATTTCCCCTACATACTACACTACTACAGCGGATGGTTACTGAGGCTACTCTTTCCCGTATCACAATCGGCATATTAGACCGTCGAATCCACAAGTCGAGGCCGTGTGCGTCATATTATCTCACCCGGGTCACACTGGACCCAGATGTGATGAACATACCATCCGCAAAGGAGCAATTAGGATATCCCCCCTAGATACTTGTTACACAAAAGATTATTTTATAAAGTCGATTCTATGCAAATAAGATGTCCTCAGTTGCTTCCACAAATTTAAAGCACAGATTATCACGCGGAGCAAGTCTGGTGCAATGGCGCCACGGAAACCTCCCTTCCTCCCTTCTATTTCTCTCTCATTTCTCATTTCTCATCTGAACTCTGGCTTTAGTCACCCTACAGCCGCGTCTCCACCGGGGCCTCCGGTCCTCGTGGGGGGCCGCATTATCAGCGCCAGATTCGACGTTTTCTTGGTGACTAGAACAACTTGAACAACGATCTAGTTTTTAATTTCCGGAGTAGATTCAATACACACTGCAGTTGTGGAATCTTTTGGACCGGAAGGTACCACTACAGTTACCGTGAGCTCAAACGTGCTGTCGCAGGTTCGGAGTGTTGACTGTCCAATCTTCATCTCTTAAAGAGTGCACAATCTACTCTTATCAAAGTGCTGGCGTAGTACTGGAGTCCGCTACTTCGTCATCCGGTGAATCTCCGAGTCGCGAGTCCACACTATCGATCACGCTCACACTCACCGTCACTCCCCCACTCCATGTGTGCCTACATGAGTAATTCTCCACTTCTCCATACTCTCATCGAATCCCCACCCCATCCACCCCGCCCCGCTTCCTCGGGAGAATAGTATGGCTTCTGTTTTTGCCAGGTCGAATTTTACGGCGTTACGGGAGGCCCATTCCTCTGTAAATTGCGCTGCCTCCTCGAGGCGTTTGGGTGCGTCTTTGGCGTTCCCAGCATCTACATTGATTGATTGATTGAATTCATTTTAACGTACGCGTCCCATTGGGATATGGCGTGACCAACTACATACATTCTTCTTCCTCGCCCCCTCCCCGTTGATTCGTTACCTTCTCTTTTCTAGATGCATTAATTCTTCCACTTTCAATCCTTGTTTTCGCCATCCCTTCACCTTAGCTGGGATGCCATTTGAGTTGAGCTTCAGTTCGTACACTGAGCTCTTTCTCTCCTCTGTCAATTCTTTTTAATGAACGCCCCTCTCCTCCCACTCCTTCTCCTCTCGCCCCTTACTCTCTGTCTCCCTCTTCCTCCGTCCCTGTAGCTCCGACCTCTATTCCTCCGTCTCTTTCTGCCCCCATTGTTCAAATCTCTTTTCCGCCCGCTTTTTCCTTTCCTCTTCATTGTACGCTTTCCCGACATCTGTGGATTCAAGGAACTCGAGGATGGCTCCTGTGGCCTTCGGTTCCGCAAATATCAAAGAGAGTGCATGTGTTTTTGTGAGGCCTACTCTTCCAAGGCCTTTTCACAGCTTTTATTACTGCCTCTTCCAGTACCTGCATTCCTTAAACAGGTGATCGCGGTTCTGCCGAGGGGCTCCGCGCCACCAGCATTTTTCGTTCTCCGCTCTCTTAATTTTTTTTCAGGTACTCCGCGGTTATTCCGTATCGGTGGCGAACCTGAAGTAGCGGCGTGCGAGGCTTTTGCGGGCTTTCATGGCAGATTGGTCGAGTTTCCGTGTCTGGCGGAGTTTAAATCTATGCGGGTAGTATTTCATACACATTCTGCTTCCCCAATTGCTCACTTCTTTTAGTGCCGTTTCTTTCATTCTTCGTTTAATGTGAGTGACATACTTCCGAAGAGTCTTGCAAGCCTATTGTGTCTTTGGAGGGTGGCGGCTTCTTTGGCTGCCTCGTCCGCTATTTCATTTCCCGGAACCCAGTTGAAGTGGATTTCGATACCCATATCCGCTAGTCTCCGATAAAGTTGTCTGATGTCTTCTGCCCCTTGCATTCCCGGTCCGGGTCCTTCTGAACTTATTCTTCTCAATGCATTCTGGGAGTCTGAGAAGATTCTCAGAGTGGTGAACGAAAATGTTTTTGTTTTTAAGAGGTGAAGGGCCTCGCATAGGGCCCCCACCATAGCGAGTAGCCCCGCATCAAAGACTTCTTTAGTTGTTCCGATTTGCCATTGATTCTTCGTCCAGCTTCCATCGTTGACTCGCCGTGCCATGGCCACCCCGACTCTTCCCTCAGGGTTGCGGGACCCATCTGTCTAGATGACTACCGTCCCTGTCAGTGGGTAATCGTGTTGATTATCTGTAAGCACTGCCGCGTCGGTATCACTGATGTGCATTCTTTCTCCTGGAATCGCTGGTTGCATAAGGCGGTCAAGGACTGTTTCTACTCCCCCATTTAAGGAGGCTACGTCCTCAATCCGTCCGCGTAGAAGATTCCCCAGCGTTTTGACTCTGTTTTCTGGGCGATATATATCCGGTGGCATTAAGTGACTAAGTGGGTGATCGAAAGGTAGTCTTAGGACTCACAGTGCATATCCTCGTTGTCTATGTGTAAGTAGACTCACAGCCTCCTGAATCCAGCTGTTCTAATCAGAGGACCGATGGGTGTCGACTAGAGTGCTGCTATTATTGCTCGCGCTTGTCTGTTGATGAGCTTTTGGCTCGTTCATGATGGGATTGTTGCCTGATCCAGCTTCCACATGATTGATTGATTGATTGATGTCATTTAAGCCCATGTGACCCTTTGGGATATGGCACATCCACTACTCTACAGCCTCCACCCTCCCCCTCCCCTTTAAATCTACTTCTTTCAGGCCTTCTGCATACATAGAATTTTGTCCACTTTCAACCCTATTTTTCGCTTGCTCTACGCACTGACGATGGCCACCTTTTGAGTTGTGCTAGCGAACTGCTAAGCACATTGTCTCCTCTTCCTTTTCATTTTAATGTGTATCACCTCCCCTCCACTCTCAGCTCCCTCCTCTCAGCGTCTCCTACTTCCTGTCCTTCTTCTGTTTCTGCTCCTCCCTCTTCGTGCTGCTCCCACCCCCATTCTTTTGCCCTTCTCTCTTCTTCCTCTCTTGTTCCCGAGTCATTCTGCACCTACATTCGTGGTTTCCAGTTAATTCAGAATGGCCGTTGTGGCCCTTCGTTCCGCGAATATGGTGGCGAGTGCGTGTGTTTTTGTGAGACCGACCTCATTTATCCACAGTTTCTCCTGTTGCCTTTTCCAGTGCCTGCATTCTTTAAAAATGTGCTCCCGGTTCTATTGAGGGTCTCCGCACCACCAACATTCGTCGCTTGTGGTTCTCCCTATTCTTTTCAGGTATTCCGCGGTTAGGCCTCTGTCTGTGGCGAATCTGAAGTATCTGCTTGCGAGGCTCTTACAGGACCTCATTATAGCTTGGCCTGGCTTTCGGGTCCGGGGGAGCTTGAATCTCTGTGGGTAATATTTCCCGCATACCTTGGCTACCCATTCTCGCTCTTCATTTTCCGTTCTCTCTCTTTGAGTCTCCGGGCGATGTGGGTAATTGAAGGTTCTTTCGGGCGCGAAAAAATTCATCAAATATAATATGATAATAGGGAAGAAGTGTTATGTAACAGTCAAGATGGCCGAGTGGTTAAGGCGTTCGCCTCGAATAATCTTCGACGGTAGCGAATGGGTTCGCCCGCGCAGGTTCGAATCCTGTTCTTGACGATATCTTTTGTCATTTTGTTTGCTTTTCCATCCCGCTCCCGTCATTTTTCACCTACCTTCCTGCTTTTATTTAATTTTTTATGCTTCAACTCTATGTATATAACGGCAAATCGGCGTAGACGACCAATAACAGTTTTGGTGAGGTCAACTTGAACTTGAACAAGCATGAGCGTTTGGTTGTACGGTAGAGAGCAAGTACCCTACGATGATGGTCGAGCCTGAGCCAACACCGAGTCTCTTCTTTCTCTCTCTCTAGCAGTGTTCGTTTTCATGAAACCACTTCGGCATCACTAATCGGGGAGATAATGGACGTACTGCAATACAATGACTTTGGCAACAACAGTAATAGTGTGTAAAAAAAGATCATAGATCATCTCGTAAATTGATTCTTGGTATCCTTTTTCTACCCAAAAACCAAAAGAAAGAAACAGAAAGCTAACAAAGCCCGGGAATCCCTAAAAACGAGAAAAGAAAAGAAAACACTCATGAAATAAAATAAAAGAAAAACATATCATACACTCCGCGCTTCTACCTCTCTTCATCTAATACTCAGCAACCCACAAAGCAGCCATACCCATACCAGTACCGACACACATACTGGTGATACCAATCTTCTTGTTAGTCCTCCTGAGCTCCGTCAACAACGTGCTGACCTGCCTAGCACCAGTGCAGCCGAGCGGGTGTCCGAACGCAATAGCGCCACCCTTGGGGTTGATCTTGTTGATATCGAGGCCAAGCTCCTGCACGCAGTAGACGCACTGCGACGCGAACGCCTCGTTGATTTCATAGATATCGACATCATCCTTGTTAATCCCCGTCTTCTCGAAGACCTTGGGGATAGCGGCAGCGGGACCAACACCCATCAACAAGGGGGGAACACCAGCGATGGTGGCCATCACGAACTTGCCGATGATCTTCTGGCCGAGTTTCTGTGCGACGGAGCGGCGCATGAGGAGGACAGCGGCAGCGCCGTCCGAGATCTGGGACGCGTTACCTGCGTGGATGGAGCCGTCTTTGGCGAAGGCGGGGCGGATCTTGCCGAGAGCCTCAGCAGTCATGCCAGGGCGGACACCGTCGTCCTGGGAGACGGTGAGTTTCTTCTTTTCGCCGGTCTTGGGGTCCTCGTAGTCAACGGTCAAAGGGGCGATTTCCTCGTTGAAGAGACCGGCCTTTTGGGCGGCTTCAGCTTTTTGGTAGGAGGACGCGGCGAATTGGTCTTGGAGCGCGCGAGGGATCTTCTTGTCTTTGGCCATGTTCTCGGAGAGGAGACCCATAGGCACGGTGCAGTTCTTGGCTTCTTGGACGGAGTTGAGGAGGTCGGAGAATTCGGTGACGGCGCCGGGACTGGGTGTATTAGTTACCACAATACTCCCAAAGTGATGGGGGGGGAGGAGGCTTACCCATACTGGCTGGTCATGCTCTCAACACCAGCGCCAATACCAATATCAATCATACCAGCATTGATGGCATTCGCAATATCAACACAGGCCTGGAGACCAGACGAGCACTGTCTGTTGGTAGCCTTCACACCCGCGGTGACGGGTATACCGGCGGCGATAGCAGCAGCACGGAACTCGGTGGCACCACCACCAGGAGGGAGGACAGAGCCAACGGCGACATCCTCGATCTTGGAGGCGTCGATGCCGGACTTGTCGAGAACGGCCTTGAAGACACCGACGAGGAGGTCGGCGGCAGCAGTGTCCTTGAAGCCGCCACGGCCGCCCTTGGTGAAGGCAGTGCGGAGAGCACAGGTGACGACAACCTGGTGTGCGGGTTAGATGATGCGGACCACGGAGTGCAACGCCGGGAGGACACATACGTCGTCAGGGTTCTGGGCGAGGATGCGGTCCTTGGGGGAGGAGTTGATTTGGCCCGAGACCTGGGCGAGGCGTGCGGGAGCTGTTGGTGCAGTCAGTTTCATCATCATCATCATCATCATCAAGGCCTCTCGAGCCAAACAGCAGAATACACACCTCCAGACATGATGACGGCTTGTGTGGGGTATGAAGGATTACTGCGAGAGTGGACGGACGAGGTGGAGCGCGAGAGATGCGGAGGAGGACTGGATCGAGGCGGGGATGGGTATTTGAGTGGATGGCGGGTGGGACGCGAGCTTGTGAAATCCGGGGCACTGGCCAAGCCGCATGTGACGACAGCCGAGGCAACGGCCGATGGAGAAGGCGTATCGGCCGCCGAAGAACGAGGTCTGACGAGTCTGTCACGCCCTCGGCCCGAATGTGAAGGCGGAGTTAACGAATAGGAGCCCGGAGTTGTGATGGAGTTGACCAGCACGTGATCCTAGAATGCTCAGCCCATCACTCGCTGGCATCTTTCCAACACGTGCCAATTCGGGGATGGATCAAAGTGCTGTGGAGCCTCGTAGAGCCTCATGTGAAGAACCTCATGCTCTTCAACCTCAATCCTGTAAATGCACCCTGGGCTGCATTGTCATCATGACCCGTGTCCTCGTTTCTATCATCGAATCTCCCCATTGCATGTTAGTGTATTAACTGAATACAGATCGGAATATCTATATCCCGAGCCGGATGAACATGTCCCATATCACCGACCCCGGCAAGACTCAGCAACGTTCTCATCCTCGTTGCCATGATCATGATCACAACCACGCATCATATAAAAATATGGACACGAACCATCCATGACTGAATCAACATGAGCCGGCGGTTCAACGACGAGCCACTTCAAGTTCCCGGGGTCATTGGAAGTACATTTTCTCCGCCAGACCGTGTCTACTCCCGGTATCACGATGCAGAACATTTCCACTGGAGATATTTTGTGTGCGGAACGGAGTAGGTCATATAATTCCTGTGCCTGAGTAGAGTCGAGTAACCGCCGCTCAACTTGAAGTTCTGTATATGTTAAGAAGACACTGGAGAAAAGATAGTGTTGGCAGAGCGGAAGAGGAGGATTATTGTATTGGAGGCCAACTCGCAAGGATGGAAGCGACTGATTGAGTAGATGGTGATGGGGAGATTAACGTAGCGTAAGGAAAGGCTCTCAAAGCGAGTCTGCGGGAGAGGTGATTGCGTGTGCTGGGTTGTTGCGATGCTGCTGAGAGTGGAGGATTTAGAGAGCCTCGGGGAGAGAGAGACTCAGAGAGACTCAGAGAATATCTCAGAGAGTGTGTTAGAGAGAGAGAGAGAGAGAGACACTCGGACGCTCATGGACTTAGAACCTGTGAGTGGAATGTATCAATACAACGCGTGGCGCAAGTGCTTGCTTCATTGCTTAGGGCAAGTTGCCACAGCATTGACAGGGAAAACGTGCGGGATGTGTATGCGTCTATGGTGGAACACAAGCGCGCAAGCCGGTACCAGTGAAGTCTCGATCTGCATAATCCGTTTGTTGAATTGCGATGGTTGCATGAAGAGCTTCCAACTGTGATACGAGTGATTCAAGCTGTTGCGGGCTCGGATAAATTCATAGCAGAAAATCTACCATATCCGTCAGCGTTATCACATATCCGGGGTAAAGAGACATACCCAAAGGGTTTATCTTGTTGAACCTCGTGAAGTTCACCTGGCACCACAGTCACGTTACCTCCACAATATGCATGTATGGCGCGCAACCTGTCTCCAATCATCACACCATACCCATCTCATCCCCAAGTCTCCGGTTCTCACCCTCCAACAACGTGTTCAACCCACGTTGAGCCATCTCTCCCATAAATCCCGGTAACAGTACATACCCTTCTGGAGGAATCCCCACATTCGGATGGACGGACTTCCCATGTCCGCATCTGTCGTATCTGTCAGGTTAAAGTCACGTCATCCCGAATGAACCACATCACCGCAACTCATCTCAACAACATGAGCGTAGACCCTTCCAGAACTTGGAGTACTGCTGTTGAAGAGTCTTGACAGTCTCGTCACACCGGTGGGTGAAACTGGTTGTCTCTTCTCGAGAAAATATGCACAGATAAAACAAGCACGAGCAATGGGATGGTTAATGAACACAGAAGGTGGGATGTTGCCCCACAAGGCGCGTCTGCAGGTGTACAGACTCCAGCAAACGGATGAGCGTTTGCAAATTGCGCATCCCGGAGAAGAAGCGGGATGGGACGGCAAGACTTGCAGAAAACATGTGTAGCATCGGGAAACAAACGAAATCTGTGGGAGCGGTTACCGGTGATATGGTACGCTGCAGCATTCAAGAGGCAAGGGAGATGCAGTTGGAGTCCTTCACAACACATTTCAGCAGAAGGATTCCACACCAAACCTGTCGACAATTGGAATTACCTCTCGGGTCAGGAATCAACAAGGCACATTCGCAGAGTCCATTACCGGTCATTCTCTGGAGAGCAGACTCACAGTTCACCACATTGGTCGTTCAAATGCCAATCATGCGTTCATGTCATGAAGACTGCTGGATGAATGAAAATTTTTCACCGCCTAACACTGAGCTCCGTTGGCTGAGTTTGGCAACTGCTGAAGAGATCCTCCATCCCTCAGGGATAGCTAGCTGTTTAATAGGTCCTCAGGTCTGTAGGATGACATAGTGGTTGATGGAGATAGCCCTCCCTCATATAGATGAGAAGAGATGCGAGCGCATGTGTTGGTCTTGTAAGACTGCCGGAGTCAAGTGGGCCAGTTTTGAGCTGTATAGCTGATTCACTAGGTCGGTTCATCTGATCTTCGGTGGCGGTTGTGGGTGTCAAGACATATATAAGGCTTGTGGGGGGTTGCCATCTGACTTGGGGGCGAAGTCAGTGGTCCGCATGATGGCGAACCATACGCGCCCAGGCAACGGCGGCGAACGAATCGAACTCCAGCGAGATATGATTGGATCTTCGAACCTCAACGCTTTTTTGAATCGATGACGAGCTTTTGGATAGTGGTTACTGGTGGTTCTGGCTTCAATTTGATCAATTAGCGACAACTGGTCTTCCCAAGAAACGACTGAGGACTCGCTGGACTTGACCATGACACCGGCATCTCGGAGTCTCAGCAGGCATAACAGGAGCCAGAGAGCGAGATACG